AAATAAACAAATTAATTATAATTTCAGCCTCTAGTTGACCACTGATTAAATAAATTACCTCGTCTTTATGTCAACTTGCAGTTATTCGTTGCCTACATCAGTGACTTCAAAATATATGTTTCAATCCTAGGAATTTCACTCGCTGTTAATTGCATGGGAGTGCCAGTCTTTAATGAATTTCTATTGTCATGTCAATTTCTTATTCAATCCTATAGATTTCTCATTGTTTGGTAACTATTTGCTGCAAATGCAACAAAAATCAATATAAAAAATATTACCCACACAGTATTCTACAGGTTACTTGTTTTAGAATGATTTTGATTTGGTTTCACGTGATAGTTAGTCTGATTGTAACACGATCTAAATCTAACGTTAAGCCTATAAATATACAGAGAATCGGCAGTTCTGAGTTACCTATTCTGCATAACGCTCAAACCACATTGGAAACTAGGCAACTCGGTGATTGAACCTTTCAGCACAGCACTCTCCGATATACACCCGTATACCCATCGTCAGATTCTAACAGTTCAACGAACCAATGCGTGATCGTGTTAGGAAAAGCTGTCCGTGACCTCAGTTATATTGAATGATTTCACAACAACTTGCACCAATTCAAACTAATAGATTTAAACTAATAGATTTTGTCGTAGCAGAGTAGCAGATATTAAGTTTACTCGAGAAGCCACTAGTTTGTAGTCTCGTTGACGACCCCCGGAAACAAAACTTATGACGTCTAATTAAATTTAGACCCCAAGTGAGTCCCCATAATCGGCAAAGCAGTAGAGCAGTCACTCTATAATGGATTATGAAACACGTGGCTGTACCTCATTTGGAATGTTTTTTGTTTATATATATAATGTTGTCCATGTCTAGCCATTTACTATTTAAACACTTTGAAAGAAATTAGTATTTGCACAAAAGTAATTTTAGAGTTACCCTGTCACTGTCTTCATTGTTAAAAAGGCGAAAGCACAACAAAGGATGACATTTAGAAGTATATGAAATCATCTTATTGTAATCTGAATATAATTCTTAAAAGCGCTTCAAGATACATTCAAAGTGTCTGGCAGTATATTGTTAAAGCGAAATGCAATTTGATCGCCAGTCACATATTACTAATAGCTTATGACCCACAGTTGATTGATCGATCTAAAAATCGTCGGATAATCTAGTCACAGAGACCATTACCCAATCGAAGCAAATCTAAATGTAAATTAAAATATCTAATAATTCCATGATTATTTTGCCGCATTTAGATGAAAACATATCAAAGAAAATTCTACTGAATCATGATGTAGTCAATTTTAAAATGTTGACCATTTTATATAATAATATCTGCAGAGACTCACATGACACTAAATCGTGACAATTTCAAGAGACAGTGAATGGTGACGCTGGTCATCATGTTTTCCAAGCATACTCTCATTGGAATATGTCTTTATTGTCATGCGATCTAATCGTATGTCATGGGATCTGATGTGCGTGCAGGCAAGCGACAGAGAAATAGAAGCATTTCGATTGTTTTATGGTGAATTACGTTATAACCTTAGGTACCCCCGGGTCATGTCTCGTGTAGAATGTATGTAGCTTGTCATATATCCTCGCAGAGATACAATGATCACGAATTCGATAGAAGCGATGTAGCAAAAAGTATGCACGTTCTCACAGTGACACAATATTGACAGAACTGACGCTAGTTCGTGGAAGAACAAAGTTTTATTTATGTTTTTCCATTTTAATCCGGGCGTTCTATTGGTAGCATTTAAATGTTTCCATATGAGAGTGAATCATGACCGAACATGACAGTTTTCCAGCTATATGTACGATATGTGATAGTTTATTCCTCAACTACCTGCCAAACTCTGCACAATTGTGATGAGCGTGATGACAATCTTGTGATGCTCTTGATAAAAACCGTTATTTATGTGTGATGAATATTTCTGGAGAGCAGACATAGATACTACAACGAACCCAATTTAATATAAACAGCTAGAAACACAAATTATCCTAACAATAATTAGGGAAAACTCAGAATCTCATATATGTATATATGATATCTACTACCCTATGAAAAACGACAACTTAACAAAACATCACGATAAGAATGGGCTCTATACAGCTGACTGTTCACATTCAACCATGGGGTCGGTCGGCCAACATTCTCAGCCGCAAGGACGAATATCTATTTTACCACGTGCCGCCGTACACTGTAAAAGTCTTCTATACGGTTTCTTGTAATTCTACTCCGTGTAGACGATGCAAATACCAGTTTTATTGAAAACCGCTATAACCCACAACACGTCGACATGAATACATTCAATCACAAGAGCGAATAAAGCTTCACGCATTCACAATTATTGTATGTCACATTGTATATTGCCTTGTTTTGATACACGAGTTAGATTCATAGTAATATTTGATATACGTCTGTTGCTACAAAGTCAAAAAAGGTTGCAGGGGAACATTCAATATAATCAACAATTTGCAAGAAATTAATGTAAGGACTCTTTGCGTTAAAAAAAATGTTACGATTTATATACACAGTGTATGCCGACTGTAAGTTGATTAAAACTATTTTTATTACCTTCATTCAAAATTGACACTACTTGAGAAACAAATAAGATTAAAAAACTCATACACTTTTTCAGCACTATATAATTTATCATATATGTGATACCACATCCATTATTCAAGGACAGTTTTCTTAGGCCATATAGATTATGCGGCTTGTAGGTAATCCTGCGACCATTATAAAGGTCTCCATATTCAAATATCCCTTCTAATATCAGCTTATTAACTGCAGTACAGTGCATTGCACTTGGTGATGTTGGCTATACTCTCCGAACACTTAATAATGTGATATGGGATGAGTTGTATTTTAATCATGATATGTACTATTAGTGATTTCAATTCTTTGAAAAATAGTAGGTGCCTCTCATTTTGTGTATTTGTAGTGAATTCAAACATAACTGTGAGCTTGGTTGAATTATGTAATTGTTGTTTCCGTAGAACGTCTGATATCATATAACAACTAGAAAGCACTCAAAGAGCGCAGACCTCCGCCAAGCAGGTTATTTCCTTATATAGTGTCACTTACACATTTTATCTGCATTCTTTAATTCCTTAAGATATGCGTTCATCATTTAAACCTATATAACTGTTACTTCAATTGTTGTTTCCATGGCAACCAGATCTACATCTCTGTCATCATTTTTCAACTTGGAACCAACTCATTTTCTTATATGAATTCATTCAAATTTGGTTAATATAAATACAACTTCTGAAAATATCATGAGAATTCATCCAATAGAGAATTGTCCATAACCTGTGTTTTAAAAGTAAAATCATTCCCTAAAAAGTTTCCATGGTAATCGTACCTATATATAATGGGTTCGTGCTTGTATCAAGAACAGTCACTCTCGAAAATTGTATAAGAATTCATCTATAATCCTTTGATTCCCGAATCTGCTGCTGCCATGGCAACTATTTCCAAATCTCTACTTAATTATAATCATTTTAAAAATGAAAAATCATTACTGTTTCCGGGGTAACCGTACCCATATCTGTATCAAAACATGGATTAGTTTGTGCTTGTATCAAGGCAAGCTCCCTAGAAATGTTATGAAAATCCATTTGTAACTTTTTTAATTTTTCTACTGACAGACAAATCAATGCTACCGGAAACATAAACTTCTTGGCGGAGGTAACATGAAAAAATAACCGAGAGCATTGACTTATTAAATTTTATCGTACTAATGCAAAATGTTATAGATATACTCGCCACATATGACATATATATCTTTCTTCAAGTCTGTAAGGCATCGTTTCTTAAAAATTCGAGGTTTATTAAGATAATTCATGATATTAAATATTAATCAGAAAGCCCCCATTTCAGTCACCATTGGTTGACGTGCTCTAGCGTGACTTGTTGATGTGTTACCAGCATTTGCTTGAATAACGCTTACTGGTGACACCTTTCTGCTACAGCATTTGAATGCCTTTTTCACGTTCTTTCTGAAATTTTCACTCAGAAAGGTGTAGAGCACAGGATTTAAACAGCTATTTACATACGTTAAAGAAATGAACAACACTGCTATGACCTTTCCCGTGTTTTGTTCAATAGGAACACTATAATATGATAGCATGATGAAAATCCAAAATGGCAGCCAGCAAAGAAAAAAACAAATAACAATAATGAGGACCATTCTAGCGACTCGTCGTTTCGATTTTTTAGAGTCAGTACTCTGTGGTAAAGGGTTGTTATTGTCCGTATGTAATAAAGTAGATGTTATCGATAAATAGCAGAATGTAATTAACACAAATGGTATAGGAAAGGCTAGAATGAAAACTGTTGTTGTATAGGCTGTCTGTGCTTTGAATGACATTTTATTCTGACAGAAACGTATGACAAAATCGCCGAAGGCAACCTCAGATTCATGGGTAAATATGAATAACGGCAATGCAACTGTCAAGCTAACAGCCCATATTACAATTATAATCGACTTGGCACACATATCTGAACGATATCCTAGCGACTTTACGGGAAAGACCACAGCAAAGAACCTGTCAATACTCATAACAGAGAGCGTGAATATAGAGGCTAACATAGTACAAATATCCAGAGTATCTCTGAGTCGACAGCCTACTTCGCCGAACTTATTACCTATGACGAGAAATTCTACTGCGTACAACGGACTACACAGTACAAATACGAGGTCTGCACAAGACAGACTAAGAATATACACGTTGGTAGTTGTCTGCACTTGACCTTTCCTGGCAATGACATATATCGTTAATAGATTACCAGGAACCCCAGTGACAAATATCAAAGTGAACGCAATAGCCACAATGGTATCAAGCACAGGTGTCTCAGGTATCGTTGGAAAAGCAAGGGTCATATTCGTTGCATGAGCCATTCTGACGAGGTTCTTGTTGTTGATGGTGTTGTTGTAATGGTATTGCAAGAAACTTCACAATATCGTATCTACATGGAAGAACACATGTTACAACATTAGGCATTAACCGTTCACGTTTAGTAAATTATATCGAAGTAGTTTGTTGAATTAACGTGTTTGGTATTAAAAAAACAAAAGAAATATACTTACGTGTCAATAGTCGTTATTGTCCACAAACTAATCACAGTTCAGTAATGATGTAACGTAATGCACCAATTGAATTATCTATAACTTCCTGTAATAAAACAAACAGATGACTCATATTCCAATGATCTGCGTCTTTAGGGGATACAGTTAAGTTCATTCTAGATCGAATTATTAACAATGTGCTCACGGGAGTGAATTCAATCATATCTATACAATTACTACACATATCATTGCAACCCAAAACCGTTAGAGGCAGGACACGACACGACACTTAGGGGAAATGTCAGTTTATAATAAAATGCTATAGAATTCTTTCTTGAGTACAATTTTCGTTTAAAGTGACAGTTTTGATGATGTATACTAACAGCCATATATAAATGATGTCCGACAAACAACTTCAATTGTTACCTTTCTATTGAGACACCGTTCCCAAATGAAAGTGTTCATAGTGTACAAGTAATATATTGATTATAAAAATGACAACAACCTAGGCCAAAAGTTTTAGATATACCCGAATTATTGTTATTACTAACATCGTACAAAACAATTAGACAATTTAGTCGGTCAGTGTCGGCGGCTGTGCGCTGGGCTTTCATTTGCAATGGTTGTATCCATTTAATTGTGAACGGTTGGTTCATAATTTGTCGAATCGACCTAATGTTTACATTATCTGTGTAACCAAGAAAATGTTAATATATTTAAAAATACTAGAACCTGAAACTGAAAACGGCGACGCCTAAACAAAAATAAACTGCTGGATCTTATTTGTTTCAGATTGAAAAGGGAAATTAAATGAATTAGAGTGGACGGCTTTGTTACTATAAGAAGTAATTTCGCTCCGGTAATGCAAAATATTGATAGGTTTTCCTTGTCTTAACTAGGGCACTACTCAGAATAGACGATGTGGACACATAGACGTGTGGCAGTGAAATGAATGAGATATTTGAATAACCTGGGAATGGGATGGATTAACAGAATAGATAACGGTGAGAATTGAATGGCATGGGGATTAATGATTCGTAGTCAGAATATTTCGCTGTAAATAATGCATTTTATGTGATTATATTGATATACATCAAAATGAGTACCACGATATATATAAGCTTTTTTGGAACCATATATAAATCACTCGCACCACTATAAATAACTCTTAGAAAAATTAAAGCATAAAAAATTAAATAAAAAAGGTTAGAATTGAAAAAAAGAGCCTAAAGGAACGCAGCTCATTTTCAAGTGTTTTATTTACCATTATATACACTTCAACATCTTCACTCAGCTGTTCTGTTTATAAATTCTGCTCACGTGTGTTTCAGTGTTTGGTTTGATCAAGCTTGAACAACTGTTTCTCAATACGTAACAGAAGAACAGTGTGAGACAGAGGAAAACTTCCAAAAAAAACCAATGCGCTAGTTGTTATAATATATCGAATGTAAACTAGTATGTATCAACTTTCTTTACATATCATCAACTGTGTTTCATCGCGCAATGGCACTAAAACGGGAGTCATTATGCAAGACAGAAACGTATAACCCGTTCGTAAACACTATTCCATTTTACACAGCCCTCTAGATAAAACAGAGGTCGTGATTTCGAATCCGAAAAAAAAATTCAACACGGCTTCAAAGATACTCACGACTGTGTAATAATATTGCGTCTAGTATTGCTTGCATTCGAGATCTAACTGATTTGCCCCGAGGATAAACACAAAAAAACATTATTATAGGTAACATACAGAGCCAGTATTTCCTGGGTCAGTGAATGAATCATAATGCGTAGAAACACATAACTGATACACACAGAGGTACACTGATTGATTAGTTTCGTTAGGCTTAACATTACAGTGAACATTATTATGCCCCTTAGTTTGGCAATAAGGTTATAACGTTATGCACGATAAGGGCTAGGGAGGAGTGAGGATGAAGTGCTTCAGTTTGTTTTTGTCAGTACTGTGCATGCAAATCTGCGTATTGCATCATAACTATTATAACAACATTATTGGAGCCCACGAATGGAAACATGGCAGTAGCCACCGTTCATCTGAAATCATTGCCACATCCACAAAGTACTTATGCTGAAAATGGTCTTATTTGACAATAAGAAATAATACCTCTCTACCGGATCAAAATATTTGTTTGTCAATCAAATCGATTCATCATTGTCTAACGGTTGCCATGGAAATTCGTACATAACTGTTTGATTAGTCTGGCAACGACAACATTCATGACAATCGGATTTAGTTTGCTTCGATAATGGCAATAATTGGTTCTTGTCTCAACAGCAATCCCTCCAAAAGACCTCATGAAAATTCGTACGCAACTTTTTGAGTTAATCAATAAACCAATATAATGCAATGGCGATAAATTTTCTCCCAAATATCCAACCGGATTCTTTTCTATACAGGTCATTGATTGATCCTTGTGTTATAGACAACCTCTCCCAGAAAAATCATGGATATTCGTCTACAATTTGATTAAAAAAAATCTCATTGGCGGGGGGGGGAGGTAATAGCATTCTTTCTAATATCATCAATTGATTCTTGTGTTATGGGCAACCCTTCCTAGAATTTTTTTTTTTTTTTTAGATATCTTACTGACAGTCATACGATTTAACAGACGCATGCAAAAACAAGACCTTATTGGCGGAGCTAAATGATATTATTCTACCCCACAACACCTATGCTAATTCTATGTACATTAACAATATATATAATTTTGCAAATGCTATATCGGCAATCACGGTATACAATATATAAATGTGAGACAAAAAGAACAATATATCAGTTTTGTGACAAGTTAGACAGCTTTAACACTGTTTCGCACTCCATACGATCTATAAAAATGTGAATATGGCATAATTATGATTGATTCTTGAACTTATGTAGTCTATACATTACTATTGCTATGGGACAGTCTAACCAACCAACCTCACGCTAATTTTACGAGACCCTAATCACTACAAAAGCGTAATATAATACGAAATGGTCGAAGGACTTGTCCAGGTATCCTTGTATATTTCCAAAACACTACCCTGCATGTCTATCTTGGAATTTTGCTTGACTGAATTCGTTCATATATATATATATATATATATATGTGTGTGTTTCTTCAGTCACTCTTAACGGCGCAGTATGCGTCGTGACCGGAGATTTCACTAATCATATACATAAAAAGTGGTAACAAACAAGATAATTCTCTGACAGTATAGGACGGCGTATACCGTAAGCCATACAATGTAATGCATTTTTTTAAAAATATAACTATAATACCCATAAGGAACTGCGCAGCCGTAGTGGAAACTAAACCTACCAGGTTTCAGCTTACGTCTATTTTGTAAACCAATACTAGTATATAATTTCCTGACATGTTAACCATTCTGTAAAATCGCACATATTATATTCGAACAACAAATATGGTGGAAATCATTCAATATATTTGATGTATTGCGATGTTACTGGTTTTGCGTTTTTTTTTTTTTTTATAGTATTATGTTACTTAATGACGCATATATTGTAAAGTAGTACTCTTATAACTTAACCTTTACAAAGATACACTGCACATGTACAGTCATTTAGGAGAAGTGTATCAACTTCTCATGACATCCGTTTCCTCATAGGATTTACCGATTTAATACCCGGAGATTCAACTATGTTTCTAATACATATAATACAACGAGAGTAAAAAGTAGTTTGATCAATTTCAAGGCGCCTGATTGTCGTAAGATTATCATCGTACCCCGGGGTCAGTAATCCTATGTAATGGAAGATTTATGTAATGTAATATACATTATATGTTCTTTACCCGGAGCATAGCTTAAACAAAACGCAGTAAAGCATGTGTAGCATTAGTCAATTATTCACTTTTGTGCATGGTTCAGTGAAATGTCTACTCCATTTGAAATGTATTAATTGCCCCGGAAAATAGTTTTATTTTCAACTCTCTCAACTGATATCGATAGAACTATTAAATGTAGATGGGTTCTTTGAATGTATGTGACGTCCGTGCCCGACTCGATGATATATATTCACGTAAATTTCTGTTCAGGGCCTAAGCTCAAATGTGTGTCAAATTATCTATAAAGGATACCACTCCGCACACTAATAGGTTTCAGTTAAAGTGACATCGGGTCAAGGATCATTTCAAATTTACGACCTCTTAATTCATGAACAAAATCGATGTATTAAGTATTTCCAGTCCAAACTGTTGTTTATGGTCATGTTTTCAATGATCATGGTGCCAATGCACACGTTACATTACAAGTAAATAAGCAAGAAAAATGATGCTGACCTGATCCGTGTGTTTCAATGGGAAATTGCATTAGCTGTCTTTCAAATCCGAAAGGTCATTGAGTATAAAGTGTCGCGGGCTCTGGCAATACAACTAGTATTGCATTCTTCTAATTATTAAGTATAAATTGATTTATGCAAAAAACATAATATAATATATATATCAAAACTAAATACAGACACATACCTCATATACATATTCGTGGCTATGTAAGTAAGTACATGTGCAGATTTCATCTGACTTTAAAAGCAAAGGTCTATGACTGTTCCAGCTACCAAGAATTTTAACACATCGGAAACGTCTTTATGAGAAGTAAACACATGTTTGATTCACATAGAGAGACCGACAAAAATCTGGGCATTGGATTCACGTCGTCGAACAATATATACGGTTTGTTATTGTAAATGTATCCGTTAATATATCATCATTAACATCACTAGTTGTGATTCCAAGTAGTATATCGAGTTACAAAGAAAAAGAGCGAAGATGGTTTGGTCATTACCTGAAGAACCATATCCAATTACTAATCATCTGGAAAGTATGCAGGTGTAAGACTTCGCAGAATTGTAATTAATTATATCCTAAAGTGCTTTTTAGTGGGATATATGTAATATGTAGGTCACGTATTCAAGACTGAATAACGTCTTTGTGTTTGAAAAGCCTTTTACAAGACCGTATCTGATTGTTCATCTAACCGTGATACCTAACAGTTAGACCAATAAGAGAGCAGATTGTTTTGACTCAAACTACGGATCTGTATAATGTATAACATAGACACGTTTTTCTTGCTTTGTTTTGAAAATGTGTTTTCCAAAAAACCCATAATATTTTTTTTTACTTAAGATTATCTTTATGTGGAAAATTACATCACGCATCGTGTGATTGTTTGTCTGTCCTTGTGTATATGTTGTGAAACTGGTCAACTGGGGATGGATTAATACAGGGAATAATTACTACCTGTAACGCCGTCACTTGTTGTCTACTTGTATAATACTGTATATGACTTTCCGCAGGAGTAGTAAACACTGCGGCTAATTTGGCAATTTCCGCCAAATGTTAGTAAGTACAACCCTGCAAATTGACTGTGGAGTTACGCTATTTAGTTTTTTAAAGTGCACATTAACATATACAGGGTATCTCATGACTGACCCTACAATACCAGACCGATTAAACGAGTGTAGTAATGTTGTTGTTGCGATTGGGAAATATAAGTAGTTTTGGAGAATTCACTATATTTACGATTCCGGGGTTGCATTGGTAACAAAATTATCTTATCAATTTTGGAGTTCATCCAAATCCCAAAAAGATGGTTACAATAGGACCAGTTGGTATCGCTCATTACCAATAAGACATTGCAGGATTTACTGCCATGATCCCATCAAATTTGTTTTAAACGCTTGAAATTACAATGATTCGTTCGCTGAAATAAAAAGAATGCAAGTTCCATTAGTACCATTAATGTTTAGCACAGAACGTAGTATTACCGAGCATATATAGCCGTTCCTGCGAACCCGTGCTTGGTCGTCTTAGAAAAAGCTGTATTTAACTCTAAGTTAAATTGAATGATTTGATTGGACGTGCCAGGGAGCTGACTCCACCAATCAGCGTTCCTGTAACAACAACTCTCGTCAATTTTCACATTTAAACCAATAGATGTTACCATCTAATATCACGTCATAGCCTTTCCAACAAAAACACTGGACTCGCGTTCAATTTCCCATGGAAACACGTAACAACATTTAAATTCGTGTTTCATTTACCATGGAAACGAACCCGAGACCGCGCCGTTGTGTTTTATTTCGTCGGCAGAAAATACAGGTTTATAGTTGGAATTATGCCAAGGTATAATGGTAAGGCGACGACCAAAAAAATGGACCTTGGCTGGCGAAAATGTGTATGACCACGGGAAAGTAAATGAGAAAACTCAATGTTGGTCTGTAGTCTATAATCAAAAAATAACGCTCGTTTTGTTTGATGATTCATTTATTAGAACAGGGTTTCAATGAAATTTCTCAAAATAAAAAAAACAAGCCTGTTGTAAAATAGTTACCTATATCTTTTCAGAGGTTCAAGTTGTTGGATGGAATGTCTCTTCCAATACAAAATATAACCATGTATAAAATAAAGCATATTACACACAAATTAGTAATATACTAATTACAAAATCGCCATAACTATCGACGTGACATTCATCTTTTCTATAAATAGCGCCATCTGGAGACGAAACACTTCAATGAAGTAAATGGGTTACAAGGAGATCGTTCAAATCGTCGATAAACATTGCACAAGAGGAACGAAACGACTACATAATCACCGATTAGTGCACTAAAGATGTATAAAAGAGCTACACATGGATACCTCTGATTCCTGTATTTGAAACGTTATCAGTCAAAAACTGGCGTTACCCCAGAAACCACACTCTATTACCGTGAATGAAATCAATATTTTATACAATTTTACATTTATATGTAAATTAAATATAAATCATTCAAATTAGATGTCATATTTTATTAAATGTAAATTAAAAGCAAACTTGGTAATCTGACATATATGGTTTAGAAAATGTCAGGGTACAGGTGTATGAACTGGAAACAAATTTATAACTACCAAAGACCTTTGTTTAACGCTTACCAGCGTAAATACAGTATCACCAACAATGACATGGGAGCACAAACTAACTTCTTACCCTTCCATTGAACTCAACTGTTATTTAGTTTCGATGTAAATTATGTAAAAGAGAGTCGTGAATCGGCATTGTATGTGGGCGTCTTGACATTATATCAGCTATTTGCCTAGCGGAGTAGAGTGATTTAAAAAATTATCGGATCACTGAGACAAGTAGAGCCAAGAGCGCTATAATGAAAATAAAAAAACAAAACAAAAAAAAAACATTGCGCCAGAAATAATGCTTTTAGCAAATAGGAAACAACTACCCATTTTTATCTGGGATCAACTATTTAGGTAACAAGAACAGAATAAGGGTAAGAATACTCACGGAAAAGCATAAATAAATAATTAAAAGTTATTGATGTAAAACGCGATCTTTTGCCTAGTAGAATTATGTAATTTTCGTTCATTATAAAAATAAATTTTATTTTCTCGTCTTGATTCATAAAGTCGGGGATGACTTTTAAAGGTTTTTCATATAACTATTGTCTGATTTTAATTGGGAAAAAATTACAATAAAGTATAATCATCTTTCATTTCCCTTGTATCACAGAAATCACAAATCAGGTTTTCAGGTGGCTAAATCTGCTAAAGGTGTTTTTGGCACATGTTAAGATTAATCAAATAAGCAATACTCGGCATGCACTCGTCAGGCTTCTTTATTGTTTTCATTGTTTGTAGATGTATTATAATGAACACAATAACAGTCACAGCGACTTTTGTTAAATCTAAGCATTCTGGAGATTTAGCTACCTGAATGTAAAATTAAACAACATATTTTGGGGAAAACCTAAAAATTAGACATTTTAAAAGAAATTAAGCTAACATGCTGTGATTGATTTATATTTCTGTATATAACATTTATATATTTATATTAGTTTTGTTCTACATTTTTAGTGAAAACCAATTGGATTTCTCCTCAATACTCATTTGAATCTCTACTAAAAGATTTATTTGAATAATAGTCACGTGAGCACGTGACATTGATTTCGAGCATTTCATAAAATATATAGTTTGAGTTATGAAAAATAATTATTGTGAATCATAACTCCTGGAAACCATTTACTACATCTTTACCTGTTCACGCTGTTCAATATTTTATAATCTGATCAGGTAGTTTACTAGTTTATTTCATTTTAAAATTTCAATTGGTTCTTAATATATTCACGCCATCTGAATATATATGTGCCTTATATATTCACTTCAGGTATAGTTTTGGATACTCTCGACAATAGGTGAGTTCCACCTCTTTTACATCTGTTTACAACAACATTTCACAACTTTAGATAATCAGACCAACGAGTTTGTCAATATGAGAGAGTAATGTTGTAATACCTATGTTTTATTTATAAGCAATTTCTCTTTTAGTAGGTTTAATGCTTATTAACCTTTTTCAAGTGTTGTTTTGAAACGTACATTAACAATCTCTGCATATGCGTATTAGTGGTTTTATATATTGTTGCGTGTCCTGCAAACACAACATTTTTAGTTCATGATAATTCATAATACGATTTATATATATATATATATATATATGTTTACTTTCATCCAAATCCTTCCCCGTGAAAGTGAAATGAAGATATAAAATTACCTCGACACATATTTAATAATGTCTTGAAAAAATTCCTATACCTCACAGAATATGCAATAATTATTACATATACAATAGTGAGATCCCATGATTCTTATGTAATACTATTAAGAAACAAATGTGTATAAAATACATTTAATAATCATGCGACTGTGGTATGCATAGATGCGTTATTGGTTTCCGCTTCAAATTACGTGGCCCTTAGAAAATGTAATGTCGAATTTGATGAGTGTCTGGTTATACCAAATATAGTAGACATCCTATCGTTGTCCAGTGCTTTATACTGATTCCAAGTCAGTTTGTCGTGATTTACCTTTTTGATATACATTTTGAAAAGCAGAAAAATAATTATCTTGGTATAGTAAACATTACAGCGAAACATAACTAGAATACACTTTCATATCGCAAACAAAACATCATAGATGGAAAAAAAAACATATCATCCCTAGTATCGCTACCCGATAGTATACACTACCATACCCACGTAAGCTTTTTTTTTTGAAAATAAAAAACAACAAATTGAGTCATGAATAAGTTCATTCACTCAATGATTCACATAAATATATATATATATATATCCATAGCAACTGGGTCCAGATCATTTCTAAAATCTAATCGTTGGGTTTATGTCTGAAGAACAGCCCCAACGACATGATTTTTGCCATTCACATTTTCAGTTATCTGGCAACAAATAGCTATTAAAACATTTTTTGTTTCCCGGGCAGGAAAATTCTCCTAAAAGGCTGTGTAACTTTTTTTAATGGGAACCCGCTCATAGACAAACAATCATGTGTAAAACCATAGCAATGATTTCAATTAATCTCATCGGAAATGGAATACCATTTTTTTTAGAAAGCTTTGTTATCCTATCTCTTTCAATTTTATTCTGCTGCTTCAATAATAATAATAATAATAATAATAATAATAATAATAATAAAATTCATCATGAATGTAATACAGCCAGACGCGCGTTAGTGACCACTTTTGTGTAAAAACCTCACGTGCGGAATGACCCGCATAAAATAAAAACAACAACCTGGCTAATGACGCACGTACACAATCTCCGAATACTTATCGACGTTATCAGGGGATTACCGCGGGAT